GGCGCGTGAGGGTGGATGCATGTGTATGTATGTGTGCGTGCATAAAAGAAGTGTAGAATGATAAGAATATCAGCTTGGAGGGTTCAGGGTATCTCCTAGTCGAGCAGTCTCGACTAGAGTCTTCTTACTTGTTTATTTACTATTGTTCTTTTATATATTTTATTTTATATAAATCTTCACATTTTTTCTCTCTATTCAATAGGCAATATAAATTCTCAATGCTATATATTCTATTTTCTGTCATAAGTATTTTATAATCTTATAATTTATCTTCTATTTTCGAAGATTTTACTCTTAGATTTCATATTTTATTTTTTTACATTTGTCTGCTACCTTGCACATTTTATTCTATATCTCTCTACTAGTTGCTAGATTCATAAACTCATTAGCTGTTCCCATCAAGATATTCTTTAATATTTACTTAATATTTGAATAATCGATTGCGACTTCTTCTAGCTTTTAAATGTGCCTCCATTTTCATTCATTCCAATCCCCATTTCGTATAGTCATCGCCATAATACTACATAATAGCAATTAAGTGACGCAGTTTGATTAGTTTTAGTTCTTCTTCAAATTGAAACTGTAGATTGGAAGCTACAGTGGAATAGGCGATAGGCGTACATACGTGTCTATATATACACACGAGTGTATATATATACGTACATTCGTATATGTATGTTTTGCATGCTAAAAATAAGCTCGTGGCCGTGCCACATGTGTCTACATGTCCAGCTACATATACATATGTGGGGGCACGCACAGACTCTAGCTATACCCATACAGTTACACATATACATACATATATAGATGCTACATATAGTAGCATGACTAAGCAAACAAATTGGCAGGCAGTTCCGATCTCTAACCAAAATAACAGACATAATGCACTTCAGCTGCGATCTGCTCTGCTCTGCTTCGCTCTGGTTTATGGGATCGCGTATACAAATACATATCTCACGGCATCGAAATACACTAATAGACAATGTTTTAATACGGGGCATATACATTTGCTGCAAGTCGCGGCCTGTTGACTGCCATAAATCTTACTAACGGTAGCATTGGTGTATTGAAAAATTAGTTTAGATAAATATTACTATGCCAGAGTCCAGAAATACATTTTTTTTTTGTTCATTATTCTGGAATTCATTTTCGTTGCAGTTGAAGTCAAAGTGTGACTGCGGCAAGAATACTAGAAAACTGCTTTCATAAGTATTTATTTTTAGATCTTCCATGTTTGCAAAACATTTCAGAATACGTGGGAGAATCCAAGAAAATCATGGCAGGCATTTTTCATTTAATCAAGCTCGATCGATTTCTGTTGCTGCTAGAGAATGTGAAAAAGATTGAAATTTATGCTGTATATAGTATAAATTATATACCACGTACCACTATAAAGTATATACATATATCTGGAGCTTTAACCGAGAAAAGATGGGCAAGAGTATAGAAATCTTAAAAGTTTAAACGCTTTGTAAATTTAAGTTCTAGTAAACGAGTGTCTTATATAAAAATATTAATAAAAATTTAACAATTCAATTAAAATAAAGAGTTATTCAAATCTAAATTTTGCAATATCTAAAATCAATTTTTTTAAGTTTTTAATATTGTTTGAAATTTCACCAAATCAAATCTAAATTTTGTTCGAAAATTTGAATATTTTGAAACCAAATGTATTCACATTTAACACTATACAAGTGTGAATAAAATACTTTATCCAATTTTCATTGAAAAGTAGGCAACATTGAACAAAATTCAATCTGAACTTGAATCAAAATCGAAAAGTTTAATTAAATTTTATATATGTTAAATATTAAGGAATAAAAATACATTTGAGCTTAGAAAGATTTCGAAGCCTTTCGAATATTTTTTTGAAAATTTGATTTCCATTTGCAAATCAAAATCAGTTTTGGATTCGTTTCAACATTCGTTTTTAACTGCAATCTGTTTTGCAACCGAATTGAATCTGCGAAATCGGCTTAATGTAAGCCATACCATTAAAGCAGATACCATTACTCAGTCTTGGCCTTGGCTTCCATATGCGGAGCGCTTGCCTGCGCGCTTTTAAAGTGATTCTTTTTATGTTGCTTTAAAATGTTGCGTTTAAAGGGATTCCCTGCTCGAGCTCAAATTACTTTGAGGCGCAAATCAGAGAAGGTTGGTCGGTCGGTCGGTCGGTCGGTCGGTCGGTTGGTAATTTGGACTGGTCTAATTTGGTTCGACCCACTTACTTGTGCGGCACGGCGATATCTCGTGGAACTGGGCAAAGTTGTGCGAGGTGAAGCAGGTGCCCACCGGATCATAGCGCAGCGCCCTCGATGGCGTCATCGTGTGGAAGACGTAGCGCGGCGCGCAGGCCTGCAAAGAGACAGAGAGAAAGACAGAGAGAGAGAGTGAGAGAGGAAGCCAAATTGAGAATAAGAGAGAGAAAAAACAAAACAATGACAAAACAACATGAGAATTATTTAGCTTTTGGTGGCATCAGCAGCAGCAGCGGCAGCACCAGCCGCAGCCACAGCAAATGCCACGATGTGAAGTTGTGAAAATGCGAAACAATGGCAGCATCAAGCAGATCATGAAATGCTGCACACCAAAAATGGCCAAGGTGAATTACGAGACGCAGGAGGCGAACGGAACGGAACGGAGCGAAACGGAACAGAACTGGGCGAAACGGTGCTGCAGGGTGCGGTACGGCACGGTTGATCTTATGCTATATGTAGAATATGGTACGATGCGACCCTGATGCTGCGTCTCCATCTCTAACTCCATTGGCTTGTCTGTCCGTCTATCTGTCTGTCTGTCAGTCGGCCTGTTTGTCTGTCTGTGCGTCTGTCCATTTGTCTGTCTGTTTATACATATAGTTTTATAATGTATAAATGGCTGGCAGTTGGACATAAAACACGCACGCTGCCGGCGCTGCACACAGACTGGCAATACTTGGGCCTATGGCCCATGCCAAATATGGCTGGCATGCAGTTGGCCCGGCCCGACTAGGCTCGGTACGAAACGGAACGGAGTGGCATTGTTTGATGCTCGCTCTGTGGCACATATGCCAGCAATTACTTTTACAAATTTATACATATTGTGCCTTTTATGGCATTGCCAGTGGCAGGATCGCAGAAGCCAGCAGCTCTATTGACTTGCTCCTGCTCGCTTGCCACGCCACGCCACGCCACGCCACTCCGCTCCGCTCCACGCCACGCCACTCCGCACTTCGCCGCCCAACGGCCTGCCTCCATTATGTGCCTCTGTTCCGCCCCTCCCCCCTCCAAGGCATCCACATCCGAAATGACGCGCGTTCGCCAAAAATGCATGCTGATCACATCATCATCGCAGCTCCAAGTCTGGCGCTGCGGCCACGCCCAACTCATTCAAATACCCATTGAATTTGAAATCTATGCTCGCGCATTATGCAAGCGACAATGCCAAATCACAGTCGCAGACCGCGAAACCAGGGACGCATAATGCCCATAATATTCGGCACATATTTATGAGTTCGAAACATTTGATGCATGCAATGCATTAATATTGTTATGGCATTCAATAATCGACTCTTCCAAGCATGTTTCCACATATATCGTACATTGATTAGTCGCTTAATTCTATTTCTTGAAAGCTCTGATTATATTTTTGGATATACGTCAATATTTATTTATTTAAGTCGATATGTATATATACTTCATCTTTTGATTTATTTATTTTAAAACCTATTTAGAGTAAATAGAGAAATTTAACGATAGCTAAACGGGTGTTGGATAAATGATTTGTTTCTATAAATTAACTTATATTTGGATTCATTCATTTGAAAAATAATTGATGAAGATAAGGAACAAAAGCTATTTAGAGTAAGGGATTCATTCTAGAAATTTTTTTCTATTATAGTCATTCAATGAATTTGCTGAATGTATGTATTTATAATAGAATTCAGCTCGAGTATATTTACTATATTGCTATATTGCATAATTTTTTTTATAGAAATTCGCAGCTAATATACAATAGAAATTCTTTTATATGACTAATCGCTCTTTCGTAAGGTAAACAGTATTATCCTCTCTGTACAATGTGAAGCCCAACGCCCTGGATTGGCTCAGCCCTGTCGCATATTTGCATAGTCGCATTCAGATCGCTGTTTTGGAGCACTTCTCAGGTGCACTCAGTGCGGCCATAAAATGCGAAATAAAGACAATCAACTGAAGGCAGAAGCCTGGTGGTTGGTGGTTGAGGGCTTGCGGCTGGAGGCCCAGGACCGCAGCCATTGAACAACAATTCAATTGAATTGAGAATGCGCAACAGCAACTTCATCGTGGCCTGGCCCCATTTGACCGCTGCCCACCGTGCGGCCAATAAGCTAATAGCGTTTTCCTATTAAAAATACAAGAGAAATATTCATATTATCAGCGCCGCATTGAGTAAAAATTCATAGGACTTGACTCCCAGAGTGTTGAGTTGCTTGCGCCCAGATACATTAGATATGCAAATGGCTTCCAGCTGAATGGAATAGAACTGGAAATCTCTGCAGCGCACTCTGTGTCCATCGCCTTGCCCTGGCTAGAAGCTGCAATAATATTACTCATTCCCCGCGAATCACAATAAATATATCAATAAAAGGCAAAGATGCTCGCTGTGCTCCTGTCGTAGCGTCGGCTGGGCGACTTTCCTGATCTAGATATTGTAGAGCTGTTGCCAAATTGGGCCAATGTCTTGGCTGTCAATTTAATGAGAATTGATATTTGATCGGCTTGAATAATTTAGCAATGCCTCAAAGTCAATGCATTGCCAAATATAGCTCCGCTCACTATTCATCGAGCCTCGTCTGCTATTCTGCACTATTATTAATATTATTATTATTATGTTTGTTGCTGTGCGACTGCTGGATCTCGGCGTCGGCCTGCTGGCTTATTGTCCATGTTGTGCACAGAGCGCATACCGAAATGCCAGCGATAAATTTTTGAGACATTAAACTGCACTTTCGCAGATGGCAAGAGAATGGAGCGATGTTGGCTGGTTCCTTGCCGGCCTGGCCCGTACAACAGGCAAAAGTCAAAAGTCAACACGCTTGACATGGTCGACATGCAGACGTTATCATTGCGAATGCAAAATTCTCTGAGCAAGGATCGCAGATCGCTCGTTCGCCGACCCAATCCATGGCCTCTGAGTTCCCGAGCGCCCATGTGGCCCTGGCCATATTTGAGCTGAGCTCAATAGCGCTGGCAATTTCACAGATCGTGTCGATGATCATGTCGCAATCGCAACAACAAACAAAAAATGAAACGAGACCGCACGACATGCGGCACATGCCCCAAAGCCACATTGCCCCCAAAGCGGCACTGCCACAGTCCACACAGTCCACCCGTACAGCATAGAGCATGTACTACGTACCACGTACCGCGTTCCCCGTACCACGTACCACGTAGCGTGTACCACTCCCAGCCACACAAACCGATCACCCATTGGCGATGATGTCACCTTGCATCCCATTCCAACCAGACGCCTTCATTCATCAGACGCTATTCGCTTTCATGGTCAATTACATCAAGTGCGAACGAGGCGTCTAAAATCAATCAAATATATTCGGACATAACCCTAAACTAGATGAGAGGAAACAGTTCAGAGAGATAAAGCCAAGAGACAAGATCTAATTTAGAGCAAAAATTACAATTATTACAGCTTTCAGTATAATGCAAAGCTGACTCCATGAGAATCGCAGAGTAAGGCAATGCGTTTTCTTTTTCTTACTCTACATTACGTTTTGTATTACAACTGTATGCCAGAAGAGAGTTAACTTTTCAGTATAATAAAAAACTTGTTCTCTTTAAGTACAATTCTGGCCCCATGAGAATCGCAGAGAGATCCAATCCTTCAATATTATACAAAGCTTGCAGCTCTTCGAGTATGATTTTGGCATAATGAGAGTCAGGGAGAATATCTTGTAATATCTTTCAGTACTCATATGGGAACATAGCCTTGATATTTAGTCTGGCTATTGGTATAGACAAAACATATATCAATTATATTGTATCACTACATATATCATCATATACATATTTGGTAGATAATTTAACTAAAAATTGTTTATATTACTTCTTGAAAGTAAGCCCGACCTGAACTGACTTGAGCTGACCTGACCTAAACTGATCCTTCTATTCGTATTCAAGCCAAGAGTATTGGAAGAATTCGCAATCTGCCTTTTGAGCTTGGACAGACTTTGAGGTATTCCCGCATAGACAAGATGTTGAGTTCATTGTTTGCTGTTGTTGGCCAGCTATGATGATGTAGTTCAAGTCCCGTTGCGCACTTGGTGCTAACATAAATCGATGGCCTGTTAATGGGCATTTGAAGGCCAGGTCAGCGCTGGGTGCGCACGTGGCGGAAGTGACCTGGACTCTGATGGCCAACAAAGCCAAACTGCAACAACAACAATAACAGCAACAACAACAATAGACTCCTTGGCTGGCCATCAATGTTAACGGCTCGTATGGTTGCCAAATCAAATGGGCCAAATCAAAGTTAATTGAGAACTAAAGTGAAAATCAAATGTTGCCGGGCATCGGGTGGGTGGTAAGGTTCTGTTCTTGCTTTGTGCTGCTTCTTCTACATTTTAGCCTGACTTGGCCAACAACGCCAACGCAATTAACCAAAGTTGCGACTGTGGCGCACCTTAAACGGCGCACGCTTTATACAGTTGATGGCTGTGTATGTGTGTGTGAGTGAGTGTGTGTGCGAGTGTGTGTGTGTGTAGTTTACTTGACGCAATCCAAGAAACAACCACGTTCACTGTGACCAAAAAGTTGACAACAACAACAACAGCAACACATTGAATTCGAATCAAAGCGCATTCAAAATTTTTGCTGTCTTTGTTATTGTGGCTAAGACCCCAACAACAAATCAAAACAAGTCAAAGTAGAACTTAAGCTTGCCCAGCTATCAAATACCCTGTAATGAGTAGTAAACAGAAAGTTTTCCTATGAATGTTCTTTTCGATATAGGAATACAATAAGAATAAATTATGCCTGAGATAGAATAGTATATTTGAAAATGAAGTCTAATATATAAATATTGTTTTTTCCTTTTTCATTATTTCTTTATCTCATTTAAATATTAAATTATGCATAAGATAGAAAATAGAAATTAATAATAAAGTTTGACTTATAAACGAAATCATTGTAGTACATTTTTATTGAGCCTAATCCCGACACATCTGCCAGTTCTATCTAAATCTTGACTTTTTCAAAAATATATTCTGCTTAGGAATAGCTAGTTAGAGATACATAGATCCTAAAGATATTCTAATATTTCTCTCTCAACCATAAGCTGTATTTAATATACTAGCAATAATTCGATGTCATTTAATAAAAGCTGTCCACAGATAAATCTAAATATGGAACGATAGAAGATATCTTGTGAGCAACTACAAAGCTCATTTCGAGCTATAGACAGATTTGTATCTTTTATGGACATTTTTACGATTGTAGGGTATATGTACAAGACACACACATACACACAGGCGCACACACATTCACGTCATAACGGCATTGCACACCCACCGCAGCTGACATCAAAAGCGAAACTCGCGTCGTAAAAAATGTCATTTTGGATTTTGTTTTCCTTAGTGTAACCTGAAAGTTTCAGTTTCACAGTGACCCAGCTACGTTGGCATTGGTTGGCTCCTCAATGGACAGCCGCCCACCTGCTTGGGCGGCATCTCCTGGCCGACTGCGCTTGCACTTTCAATGTGCCCATGGGATGTTGTTGTTAATAAGAGAGCCATTTAACGAGCTATCGCGTTTCTCGATGATGCCATCAATGCGCATGAAAATCAAACAATCAGACAATCGACCGCCACAGCACCAGGTGTCGTTGGACGTTGGCTGCAGCTGCTGCTGCTGCTGGTGCTTGTGCTGGTGCTGGTGCTGGCGAGCGGGCAGACAAAGTCAGTCAGTGGGTCAGTTGGTGAGCGACAGAAAATGTATCTCGCTTGGGCTGTCACATTAACTACGGCTTTACAGCACTAAGCAAAGAGCGATAAGATAGCCCAAGTCCAATTTGTGGGCATGTGGGCATGTGATGCTCACCATTATTTTAATTAACTTTCATGAGACTAGCGTGAAACCTTGTCTCACATCATCATTAACAATGAGCCAATAAATATGCATAAAGACTAAATAAGGCTGTTCTGCCAGAGTCGAAACGATTTCTAGAGGCAATTGATATATGGGCATGGCATTGCATAGCTAAAGCGAAAATATATAGTTTTTGGAAGTTTTCAATATTGAGCTATTCACAATTCAAGCTATCTGAATAGGAAATATAACATGATGTCTTAATTTTGGTTTTCTAGCTGTTATACTGTAAAATATTTATAGGACGAAGGTAATACTGGACATAAATTTAAAGCTTCGAATCTCTAGCTTCTAGAGAAACGGATACCATTCATACAGTCGGATGGAAAGGACAGACGGAGACCACAAAACTCTTTCACTATGATAAAAACGCTATATATATATATAACTCTAAAGAGAAATATGATAAAAATATAATATGTTATATAGAATCTCAATTAATATTCATTTTGTACTCACCACAACCAAGTCGCTGTCCCGTCCGGTGGCGACAGTTGCGCCGAGCCACTGATACGACTTTCGATCGATAGTTTCGCCCATTGTGTTCTTGTTGTTGCCTACAGTGGATGGGGGGAGGAGAGAGCAATTAGAAATATTGACAAAGGAAAAAAAAAATAAAAAAACAGAAAACAAACGCAAAGCCATTAACAACGAGTGCTGCAAATTTAAAAGAGCCTCTTCACTCACTTTAAGTAAGAAGGCGACGCAAAAACCGAAAAACGACGGAAACGAAAAATTTGCCGAAATTAATACAGATGTCTTTTAAAGTGAAAGCAAAGGCGGGCGGACGGCCGGCCACACAAGAGTGACGGTGAGAGAGGGAAGGAGGAGAGGCGAAGAGAACAAAAAATACAAAAGCAAACTAATTAAGTTGATCTAAACAAGGCACTTGGCAAATAACGGCATAATGGCCACTTCCGTTGATGTTTGGCAATGATTTATTACGCTTTCGTTTCATTCTACGGCTCCTGCCGAGGGTGGTGCGGACATAGATACACATACATACATACATACATAAGTGTGTTTGTGCTAGGTGCAGCGCTGTGTCTGGGGTGCGTGATTGATGCTGATTGAAGTACTTACAAATGCTGATTGAGTGATGATTGAATAGAATTAGAGGCAATGAATGATGTGTGACAGCGACAGCCCTGATGAATGAATGCTGGGCATCTAACGAACAAAACATCCCTGCTCTGCGTTTGCTTGAAATTTAAAACTTCAATCAAAACACAAAGTGAAAAATAAATTGAAAATTTCGCCAGATACTGCAATATAATTGAGCTGATCTAGATGTATTCACTCCTAAAAAATATTGAACTATAGAACTTCAAACTTTTTACTTGATTCTAGGGACTTATATATGCAAACAAATTTAAAGACAATCACGAGCATCATATCTTCGGATGTAATCTCAAATTCGTATATCCTAAGAAAACTCTAACTAGAGAGCAAAACTACAAACATTGTATATGTTAGCACCTAACTGGGATCTTAATAGCAATCGGAAATACAAACAAGCGTACTATCATTGGGAATACCGACTAGGCGCTACCCAGAACCTTTAAGAGTGGTAATTAACTACGGAAGATTGGGATATTCAAGAACTTTAACATAAATGCAATTTCTAAATGATGTTTTCAGATAATAATATGAATATACTTGACATAATCTTTATACTAACTATATCAAAAATACTATTTAACGATTTTACAAATCAAAAATACATATTAATAATCAGGATCTGCCTGTATAGAGACCATAAAGAATCCCTCAGGTGAATCCGGAAAAAAGTACTTAGTACATTGCAATAGATATGCAAGACTTTTGACTTTAGTTGAAAGAAGATCAGCATCTATAAGGACGGAGGGATAATTATATTATGCCTTCCATTGGTTATTCTGTTTGACAAAAAATATGTTACAAACTATATTAGTCCTACCGCTCTCTGTTTGTATAAATATTCACAATGTCCTTAATTAACAATTGCAATGAGTTCACAGATAAGATAATAAGTAAATTTGTGTACAAACTGAAGGTGCACTATGATTAATGAGAAAGCTGAAATATGCAGCTAATTATAGGTATCTGTATATTTGAATAGATAAATATGTACATGAGAGCAGGTGAGTAATGTTTTGCCATGATTCAGATACATTTCGTTAGAAAAGTTCGTTGACTAACGGCAATTGATCGATAGTCCGTTGAAAAGTTAATGAATTAATGAACAAACCTGCGAGCTGAATGAAGCACCTGTTGACTCCTGTTAGTTGTTTTTTGTTGTTTGTATATTAATAATGTGTTAGCAAGCATACGATACAAGAGTGAGGAGCGAGCATTAAAACATTTGGTTAGATTCAGATGCCTCGAGATGTTGCCGAGCGACTTATGACACACTTCGAAAACGGCTACAGTGGAGCTTACGAATGTTGGCTAGCTAAATTATGGGATATGTAAATGGGACTGCAGCTCTGATTCAGCTTTCCAAATGGACAAACAGATGACGCTTCGCAATAGATACGTTTATGCGATCAAGAATGCATTTGCAGCTCTTTGCACAGAAGTCTGTCTGTTCTATTAAAAGCCGCACCGAATCGGAACACACTGCACGCACTCTAGACATGGGTGCATTCATAGCATTTCCATCGACCACATCGTCGTCGGCGTCGTCATCGTCGACAAAGCGAATAATTTGTATATACGCATCCGTTACTGTGGAGTCGTGAAGTCGTGGAGCCGTGGAGCCTCTGGCAGGAGAGGCAGCTGGTGGGGTTGGGGATGGAGCTGGCTATGGGCAGCAGCTGGTAGGCCGTGCGGGGCGGACCTTGAAAATGGGCGTCTGTTTGTCTTAAAGGCCGTCTGTTTATCATTTCCGTTTGCGCTTAAGGAAGTGCTGGGATGGCGAAATGGCAAACGTATAAAAATAATAATCAACTGCAGCCGTGCGCATTTTTTCGCAGTTAATTTTCTCTTTGTTTTTTTCACATATTTATATATATATATATTTTCTGTTGTGGCTGCTTTGCATATTAGCATTCGCAGTTTGCATACTAAGGAAAAACGCTGCGCATGCGTGTGAGCCATAAATAACTAATTGCATTTGGCGCTGTTGTCGCTGGCGCCAATACGAAAGAGAAGAAATGTATATCAAGACTGGGAGAGCTCAAGACTCGACGACTCGACGACGACTCAAAGGCCCGGAGACACTGGGCTTGGAAGCTCTCTGAGCTGGCGCCAGATCCAGAGACCAGGCCCAAAGACTTTCCGATCGCTCGGTTGCTTAATGTTGACTTTTGCCGTCTACTTACCTTTCGAATCGAATTGCACCAAATGACAGTCATCGTCCTTCATCGAGCATTTGAATACGGCTCCAGCCTCCACCACGTGCTCCTGATACGACGACGTGTCGAACTTGGGTGCGCCCACAACCAAACTGCAAATAAAGTAAAAGATGTAGATGGAGATAGCATTAACATTATGCAAGCAAATGTCGAATTTACAAATTATATATGTATGTAAAATATATACATTTTGTTCAATTTAATTTTCTGTATAGAGACAAAATAAATATTTATTATATTTCTTGATTCCCAATTCATTCTTTGCTGTTTCCCTTGGAAAAAACTAGTAAATATTTACTAAAGGATTTATATTTATATATTTATTACTATATTAAAAGAATAAATTTGTTATACATATATAATATATATATATATATATATATATATATATA